GAAGACACAAACTAGAAGCGCGATTGTGGTGACATTTCCCTGGCCTTTTTGCATCATTTGTGCTAGTGAACAGTTTAAGTGAGCATTTTGGTAAGTAAATTAGCAATGAGCAGGCAGTAGGTAACATAGAAGCCAGACCACAGACACCGGCTGCTGCAAGCAAACCGGCATTGGACAAGAAACATGCCGACAGAAGGTTTTTAACGTAAAAAATGTGGACTTTGAGTTTCATTATTGTTAATCACATTAAGTGGGATTTATTCTCTTCAAATGTCACCTCGGATCTAAAATAATATCGGCTAGTCGAGCGCCTCATTGCATTTGGGATTTAACTGTATTGGTAAGAACGATGCCTATCATCACCCCAAACTGGACAGGGCAATAGGACTGTTCCGCCCAAGTAATTCCAGATTCAATTTGGTCTTTTAGCACTCGGCTTCTGGTTATGCTGAGTTGCCTGTGTTTGAGGTAGCAGGACATGAAGACCGCAAAAAGTACAAACATCTTTGGTTGATGCGGAAGCTGCTAATTATAGAAGGTTTTTGCTTGCACAGGAAATATATCGTGCAACTATCTTGTATTATACTTCCATCCGCTGCTAAGTCGAACTACGGGTATGCGACCAAACCCGAAACTTCGGGTAAATAATGCTATTGATCGTTCCCGTCCCATAGCTTTCAAATTCAGGCTGGAAAATAAATTATCAAAACATTTCAGTAGACACGAAAGATAAATATGATTAAAGGGTATGCTTGGTCTTTCCGCACGACTGGAATGAGCATCCATCAGGTTTGCGTGTGCAAAGTTTCCTTTTTAAGCGCACTTATGTAATTCCGATCGTTGGCTAAATTACCAATTTTTCTACTCTATATTTGCTTTCTGTGGGCCAAGGTACTTGTCCTTACCAATTACTCCTTCTCGAGATGAAAAGAAACACCGGAGAGCCGGTGCTTTTCTTAATTATGAAATAGAGCATCGCTTCTTTCAGCATAAAGCCAACGTAGAAATGAAGCAAATTCCCTAAAATTGCCCGAAAAGTCAAAAATGAATTTTCCTTTTTAACAGGCACTACGAAGCCTGGGTCTTTGTGCGTCACACTTACTCGGATTATGCTAACCAAGCTATCGACATGAAAGGGCGGTTCCTTACCGACTAAACAACTGGCATTGACTAAACGCTAAGGTAAAACTTGCTACACAGGAGTCGCCTAGAGTACAAAATGACTTGTTAGCCAGACACTGATGGTGGCAGGGAATGAGAATAAAATCGGCATATAATGCAACACAACATTTCCGAATTCATGGCGGGACACATTCGAAATTTCCTTCGAGTCTAGGCTGGAGTCTTCCTACGTCGATTGCAGACTCGAAACAGGAGTGCTGATAAGCTGAGAAACTATAGTTCCCTTCCGGGTTTACGTTCATTTTATATTCGATAATAACACATCATTAAGGTAGACACTTCTGTACTCCGACGCGCATTCAGTACTTCCGAACAGCCCAGTACTGAGAAGGAGATTCGACTGTTGGAGTGATTTCCTCAGTTTGGGTCTGCGCAAAACTTGAACTCTTCATGAAGACGAACTAACGCTGCGCATAGGTACGATATTAAACAAATATATATTGAGCTGCCTTATTTTTAAGATCAAAAGCTGCATCAAATTGTACTAAACTTTCAAATGTTAACCGACGTGACAAAGCTGTCTTTATTGTGCAGGGCAGGCGGCTGCTTCTTCTTTATATCTTTATTTGATGTCTATATGCCAACTTAAGCAGAATTTT